GAGGTGAGTCCTTACTACAGTTTGTACTAAACAAAAGGGTTAAACATAGCCAACATAGGCAATGAACCAACTTTCGTGACGATAGTGCGACAGGAAGTCCTAGATGTAACCTTCAGTTCTAACAGGGCAATCGACATGATCCACAAGTGGAGAATGTCTGAGGAACCTTCATGCTCCGATCACAAGCACATCAGGTTCGACATAAAAATTCTCACATGGAAATTAATACTGTTCAGGAACCCCCGAGATACAAATTGGGAAGGATACTCAACATCCCTTAATGAAGATCTATGACGATGGAGGTCAGAAGTGTAGGGAACATAGAAAATTCAGTAGAGCTGCTAAGCAAAGCGTTAACCGAAGCATATCAGCACAACTGTCCAGAAAAAACCTGGAAATAAGAAGGATACACAGTCTGGTGGAACAGGAAGCTCGGGAAACTGAGAAGTACCGTGAGAAGGCTGTTTAACGAGATTCCCCCTTGCTCAAGAATCCACAAAGTCCTTTCAAAAGACAACACAAACAACGCTGTCGAACTCTTTAAAAAGGAGGACAACACCTACACAAAAACAGTCCAAGAAAGTCTAAAGGTGCTGATGGAAGCGATTCCATTAAGGGACATAGTGGACTCACAGCTGGACTACGAAAGGTCTCCTAGACCGGGAAGGCGAGAGTGGGAGTTAGTTAAAGAAGTAGTAACACCCGCAAGGATCAGATGGACCAATTTAAACCATTCAAATCACCAGGAATGGATGAAATATACCCTATATTACTGCAAAAAGGGCAGGAAATCGTACTACCCCATCTATGCAGAATATACAGGGGTTGCCTAGCGTGGGGAGTAGTGCCCAAGTCATGGCAACAGGTAAGGGTCCTATACTTTCCAAAAGTAGGCAGGACAATGGACCGCACTCCAAAGGCATATAGACCCATAAGCCTATGCTCATTTATGCTGAAAACGCGAGCGGCAATACGCTTACCAACCGGGAAAATCAACGGATCTAGCTCTGGATAAGCCAAATAGGCTGCTCTCCAAGACACTGGAAGACAAGGAGATAGCTGTGGCAACCTTTCTAGATATAGAAGGGGCGTTCAACCACGCCTCAACAAACTCGATCACAAAAGCCTCGGAAAGGAGAAGAGCTCCAAAAACGCTATGCAAATGGGTAAAAAACAGTCTAAGGAACCGGACCATAATATGCACACAAAGTCAGACCACCATAAAGGCAGCAGTCGGGAGGGGATGCCCACAAGGGGGAGTACTCTCTCCTCTGCTATGGGCCATATTGGTGGATGACCTACTGCAAAAACTCTCTGCAGAAGGTTTCTACTGCCTAGGATATGCAGACGACGTAGTGATTGTGGTACGAGGAAAATTTACCAATACCCTGTCAGAGAGAAGTCAGGAGGCTATTAAAATCGTGGAAAACTGGTGCCAAAACGAGCGGCTAACAGTTAACTCGAAGAAAACGACAGTCGTTCCATTTACCAATAGGAGAATCCTCACAGGACTGAAACCGCCGGTGGTAGATGGAACAAGGCCAGGGAGGTAAAATATTTAGAGTCATATTTGATCAAAAACTTACCTGGAGAGCGCACATTCAAAAGGTCACACTCAGGGCAACAATTGCACTAGGTGGATGCAGAAGAATGTGTGGAAAGAACTGGGGCTTAAACCCAAAAATGACACTTTGGTTGTATCTAGCAGTAGTGAGACCAATGTTAGCGTATGGGGCGATTGTCTGGTGGACGCGATAAGGCGGCTGAGTAGCGTGCAAAGACTAGCGAGTCTGTGCGCTACGGGGGCCATGAGCACAACGCCCACTGCAGCGCTGGAGGTCCTACTGAACAGGGTGCCTCTTTCTGCAAGCGGAAGTGTCAAGTACTTGGGCGTATGGTTGGACTCTAAGTTGACCTTCCAGGAACATATAAGATCAAGGACCAGGTCGGCCTTTGGAGCTCTGTGGGCGTGCCGGAGAGCGGTAGGGGGCACTTGGGGCCTGGGGCCGAAGATCATGCAGTGGATCTACGGTACCATGGTGGTGCCTATGCTCACGCATGGGGCAGTGGCATGGTGGCCGGGGACCAAAAGAGCGGGAGCAAGGCTAGTTCTTGACAGACTGCAGAGATTGGCTTGCCTCTGCATAACGGGCGCCATGAGAACGGCGCCCACGAGGGCCCTGGAGGCTCTGGTGGGGCTGCCCTCTCTGGCGGATCGGGTGCAGATGGAGGCGGCCAGGACAGCTGTGAGGCTGGCGAGCTGCGGGCTCTGGAGGGAGGGAACCCTCAATCGGGGTCCGTACGACATTTTAGAGGGCTGTCGTGGGGATCGCGGGGTCATGGGCATGCCGAGTGACGTCATGATTGAAAAATTGACCTTTCTCTTTCCATCAAAGGAAGATTGGAGAGAGGGCAGAGTCGGCTCCTGGGATGGACTTGTCTGGTACACGGACGGGTCCAGAATGGGAGATCTGGCCGGAGCTGGAGCGTACTGCGAGACAACGGGATCAAGCTTGTCGGTCCCTCTGGGTCAATACTGCACTGTGTTTCAGGCGGAAATTTTCGCTTTATTGATGGCGGCCAGAGAGGTGCTTCGGCTCAACTACGGAAGCAGGAGAGTCTTCTTCTGCTCGAATAGTAGGGCTGCACTCATGGCGCTGAAGTCAGTGCGTACGCGCTCCTTGTTGATAAAGGAGTGCAAAGGGGTACTGAGGAGGGTGGCTGAGGAGAGAAAGGTTGGTCTGGGTCCCGGGTCACACCGGTGTCCGGGGCAATGAGGCAGCGGACGCCTTAGCCAGGGAGGGCTCCTCGCATAGGCATATAGGGCCAGAGCCCCGCTTGGGGATCGCCCCGTGTGTGAGGCGGGGAGCTCTCGAAGCCTGGGCGAGAGACCGGGCCGCGGGGGGTTGGAGAGTTGCTCCGGGAATGAGGCAGGCGAGGCTTATGATGGATGGGCCCGCCCTTCCTCGGACCAGGGAGCTGCTTAGACTGACCAGGAGGGAGTGTAGAGCACTAACAGGGGCCTACACAGGACATTGCAGGCTTAGGAGGCATCTCTGCTTGCTAGGCATTGGAGACGACCCGGAGTGTAGGTGGTGCATGGAAGGGGAGGAGACCTCGTATCATCTGCTCACCGAGTGCCCTGCCTTGACATGGCCAAGATTGGGAGTCTTCGGAACGGCCCTGATCGATCCGGACTCAGTGCACGGTATTGGGCTAAAGGAGTTGCTGACCTTCTACAGGAGAGGCGGCATTCTGGACGCCCTCTAGAGCGGCCTGGGGGCACAACGGGCCCATCTGGTGGTCTAAGTGCTTGGACGCCCGCGAGGGCGCCCCCCTTTAATACCAATACCAATACCAATACCTACTGAATATCCCACCAATACAGATCTATATACAAGGGGAAGCAAGATCCGCAGTATATAGATTACTGCAAGGCCAGTCCCCAATAATTGGTGGACATGGCACGAAACATAACAAGCTTTACTTGGAGGTAAGGGCGGACAATGTTTTAGGGCTGCCTACGGACAGCACAACACCTAAGTATTGCTTCGTTAACCACTACAGTGTTGTGACTCAAATCCCTGCCAGAGAAGACTGGGAAAACGGGCCACCAATCAAGGCAGAAATAACCTGGTATGCTGATGGCTCAAAAACTCAAGAAGGAGTAGGAGCCGGAATATATGAACCCGGGACGAAAAGGAAAATCTCTATTCCAATGGGTAAGCTAGCAACAGTGTTCCAAGCAGAGAGCACTGCACTAGAACACTGTGCAAGAGAAATAAAAGCGAGGAAGATCCGTAACAAATCAATTGCAATTTACACCGATAGTCAAGCGGCTATAAAGGCCCTGCAATCTAATAAAATAACATCCAAGTTAGTTCGGGCATAAGGCATTAAACAAGATAGCAAGCCAGAACAAAGTTACTCTATAATGGGTACCGGGGCACGGAGGGCATAAAGGTAATGAAGGCGCAGACGACGCATCCCGCGAAGGGTCGTCAATGCGCCTAATTGGACCAGAACCCTTTTGTGGGGTGGCCAAACCCGTTGCAAAAACAGCCATCAGGGATTGGATGGACCGAGAATCCCGACGATGGTGGAGCGGACCTACTAAGCTACAATAGAAAAGCCGTAAGAATAATGGAAGGTCTGGTGACGGGCCACTGCAGGCTTAAGAGGCATCTAAGCCTGATGGAAGTGGAAGAAAACACAGAATGTAGATTCTGTCAGGAAGAGGAGGAAACAGCCGCACACGTACTGTGCCACTGCGAAGGCCTAGCGAGAGTGCGTTTCCATCTGCTGAGCGATACCAAACCAGAGGCAGAGAGCTATCCGAGGGATCCATTATCGAAGTTGTGGAGTCTGGTTAGAGAGACGAACCTGGATAAAGCCCTATAGTTATGGAGAGAGTCACAATAGATACTCTGGGTCGCAGTGACGGACAGGCTGACTGCTAGCTCTCCCAACTGTTAATCTAATCTAATCTATAGTGTTGTATAAGATCCTGTAAAATTCTATACAATATTCTAGGAACAGATATGGGTATTGGGAGACTTCCATTTGGAAGTTTTCACAGGGATATACACTGTAGGGAAAATCTGATGATGCTCATTTCCACAAATTGCCACAAGTTAAAAAAAATTGTTCCAAAGACAGAAGATATCTCACATCATATCAAATGTAGAATCAAAAATAGTACTATTCCTAGTTGCTCTACCTTATTCCGGGTTTGTAAAAGTGGTGTTATTATGTGCATGTTATTCGCATAACCACTGCCTGCAACTAGGCTGGAATCCTAAAATGTGAATTATTAAAAACAGTTTCATCATGTACAGATTTTAGCCAGTGTCCACCAGATCAAGAACTCTCAGTTCAGTGTCACAGACTGTTTGTACATTTATTGAAAAAAAACCTTTTCTGTTTCTGAATACTTCAGCATTTGGTTCTCCTAAAAAAGTATTGCAATCAAAAAGACACATAACTTCTTCTTGTGGTGCCTATGCGTTACGAATATTGGCGATCATCATGGCAATGCGTACTTTGTCAACTGCTGCACGAAAAAGGCCTACTGTTGTAGTATTGAACCATGTACGCAAGTTCTTCAACATCCTTCGTCTACCAGGCCTCCTCCTGCCTTCCACATTGCCCTGCAGAATCAGCTGCAACAAGTCATACCGCTCGCTGTTCCTCATTATGTGTCCCAGACATTCAAGCTTGCGTGATTTTATTAAGAGAAGCAGGTCCTTGTCTTTACCCATTCTTTCTAGGACCCTAAGATTGGTTATGTGGTCGATCCATGGGATTCTTAAAATGCGTCTATATAACCACATCTCAAATGACTCGATTCTTGTACAGGCAGCCTCAGTTAAAGTCCAGGATTCCACCCCATAGACTAGCACTGGGCACTGGAAAGACATAGCACTTCAATAGTCTGATCTTAGTTAGCAGCCATAGATCATGGCATTTAAATAGTTTTGCCATTTTCAGAAATGCGGCTCTGGCCTTCTTTATTCTGCATTTGATCTCCAGAGAGTGATCCCACGTTTCACTTATCTTGGTTCCGATATAAACACAAGTCTGGACTCGTTCTATATACTGGTTATTTATAGAGTTGGCCAACATGGTTGTTGGTTTTTGACACAACCATATATTTTGTTTTCTTAAAGTTCAGAGAAATCCCGTATCCTTCACTAACCTGGACCACCCGAACCATCATCTCTTGGAGACTCTCTAGGTTATTAGCAAACACTACCGTGTCATCTGCGTATCGTATGTTGTTCGTGTCTTCCAGAGCCTCGTGAAAAATTCGTTCCAAGTATACGTTAAAAAGTAGAGGCGACAGCACACAGCCCTGACAGACCCCTCTTTCTGTCAAAGTATCTTTCGACTCCTCTCCTTCGATACGCACAGATGCGGTTTGTTGCCAGTACAAGTTGGCAATTATTCGTAGGTCTTTTTCGCCCAATCCGATCTCCTTTAGAATTTCAATAAGCTTGTTGTGTTGCACGTTATCAAAGGCTTTCTGGTAGTCGATGAAGCAGGCAGACACATCGCAACTGACGTCCCTGCACCGTTGGAAAAGGACCTGAACACTAACTGGAGCCTCTCTAGTACCTAGCGCGTTTCGAAATCCGAACTGTGTGCGGCTTACTTGATCTTCGCATTTGAGGAGGTGGCTCATAAGGCTGACTCAATTTCTCTGCATTTTGCGCCAAGCCAATTTTCTTTTGCACTTCTTATTTATCGTCTTATTTCTCTTTGAATATTTTAACACCTCGCGTCGTTGTTTTTCGCTTTACGTCTGTCTTCCATAAGTTGTAGAATATAATCGGTCATGCAGCTTTTCTTTTTTTCTCTGTTTGCGACCAAATGCTCGTTTCCGATATCCCCGAACGAATCAGACATTTTTTGCAGCCATTCCTCTGTGTTATCTACTTCCTCTAGTTGTTTAAATTTCTCTGTCAGTACGTTTGTCACTCTCTTCCGTGTTTCCTCCTCTTTCAGCCTTCTCATATCCCATTGCTTGCGAACTGTTTTCTTTTGGACAGTCTTCAGTTTGATTCTAAATATTCCTGCCAAAAGGGAATGATCCGATTCGATGTCAGCGACAGAGAAAGTCTTCACGGATAGACAACAAACTATTCGTAAATCTTTTATTCACAAGGATATAGTGGATTTGGTTTCTCACTGTTTTTTTCTGGCGGTATCCATTTATATTAGTCGATGCGGCGGTAGGGTAAAAAAGGTATTAAGTATTACATATTCTTCTTCGCCGAAGAGCTTTAATCTATCACCGCATTCATTCCTTGATCCCAAACTGAATCCACCTATGAGTTCGCCGCATTTTCCTCTTCCAATCTTCGCGTTCAGATCACCCATGATTATTGTCATATTGTGTTTATCAAACTGCTTTAAAGATTTATAAAACTGTTCGATTTCTTCATCCTTTTATCGGCAGTTGGGGCTATATCTGGATAATATTCAACTTGACAGGAGTGCTTTCTAATTGGATGGCCATTATCCTTTCTGAGACAGGAATAAAGTTTGTGATGTATTTTTGTATCTCTTGGGACAAAATTATGCCTACTCCATTTATATGTTGGTTGTTTTCGTTCCCAGAGAAAAATATTTTATGTTCTCCAATTGTTGAATTTCCCGAGTCAGGCCAACGCATTTCACTAATCTGCATTATGTCAATTCCCATTCTAATCATTTGTTGAATAGCATTATGCACCTTTCCCGCTTGGTACATTGTTCTTAAATTCCACGTACCTATCTTCAAGATTTTCAGTGGCCTTCTAGCCCCCATCGTGCAGGGATTTCCCCTGCCAGATCTTGGGTTCCGAAGCCCACACAGACACACATAACACACAAGCATTTTAGAACATTGAAATACGTCTTTCAATATTCTAAGACGAACACCAAAATTAAGATTCTGGTTAAAATTTGAATGAGGGAAAATTATTCAATTATCCATCCAGCAAAAAGCTATTTCCTATTAACATGAAAGTTCTGAACTTTAACATGAAGTTTAAGACGCCCACCTAAAATGTCTGAATAAATAATTCAAGGAATACATTGAAATTGTCCAATTTTCTAAACATCCTGTTAAATTTAATATTTGGACATCAAATCTTTTGGATGCCTCCGGGATATCTTTGGTAATAATTTATTGGAAGATTCCATTCAGGGATTGCTCCTAAATTTTAATTTGAATCATAGCAATCATTTATAAGCAGTTTAGGAGCTTGCGTAGTCATGTAGAGTGGAGGGCGTTTTTTCTGATTCACGTTTGTTTCCATCAGGTTTTCCTGCAACTTCTTTTTCACAAGTAATCTTTCATTTGCCAACTTTTGGTTCAGTGCAGATTCTTCTCTTTGTTCTTCCGTCTGCTTTAATCTCTCTTCTTTCTTTTCTTGAATCCAAAAAGTTGTCTGACACACAATTTAAAATCACTTAGCTCTACAATTTCATTCTTCAAAACTACAAAAATTGCAAATATTCAAATAAGAAAAATATATAAAAGAGCTGCAGTTAAAGGAGAGGTTGGGAGATTTGCACAGAATGTGGTCTACTGTCTTGTCTGGTGATTTCTTTTACTCAGCATCTTACTCCTAGCCATCATAATGTTAAGTTTTAAGCATTCCCAATCTCTTTCTACTCTTCGAACCATATGAATAGACGTTAATTGCCTCGTTGATGTATATATTCCCTCTGGTGTTTGTCTTGTAGAGTTTGTCATTCCAGAAACGATTCCACCATGCTGCATTCCCTGCAGTGGATGCTAGTCATTAAAACCACTTTCCTATGCACACCACAGCTCCAGAGTTTCGGTTGGTATGGTTGTAACGGCCCCTGTAAGAGCCAGGAATGCCATCCTTTGGATCTGTTCTAATTTACGGCTCTCAGATTTCGGTTGTGCCTTGAAGCCACAGACAATTACACTGGTTATATATATAAATAATGTAATATATATAAATAATGTAATAAAATTTTAAACGTGCGCACATTAGATGGCGCTGTTCAAAAATAAGTTTAAAATTAATATTACAAGATCCGAATGGCAAAGGTCCGTGATAGTCCCTACGTCTTGCCTATGATAGAAAGAAAATACTCCTTAGAAATATATGCATCTTTAATCCTATTTTTAAGGTGTGAATTCCATGTTATAGAGTGTCACCCTAAGATATTTTACGTCCTTGGTCAATCTTATTTATTAATGCAGATTAAAACTTAGCTCTGGTGTGTAATGTCCCCTAGTTTCATTTACCTTGTGAAAAGAACCATTTTAGTCTTCAATTATTTTTAGTGCAGTTCACATAGAATGACAAAATCATCAGCGTCCCTTTAAGTCAATTTATCTAGAATATTAGGGAAAATGGTTTGATCAAACTCTCTACATCAATGAATACTCCGAGGGTCGACGGCCGGTTGTCCAGCTCCAACATAAGTGACGAACGCTGCCAAGTAAGGAAGCTGTCCATACCAAGTACTCACCTTCATGGCTAACAAATTTTCACTGCTCAATGCGCTGGATGTACTGGAATTGGTTTGAATGACTTTGTCAGTAGACGTTAAAACTTCACCCTAAGCAGAACGTTTATAATATGATTTTAGAATCATCAAACTTGGAAATACTTCATACTTTGTCTTTTGCCGAAATTGGTGCTACATTAGAGGTTTTTATTGCTAAATTTTTGTTTGGAACCGAAATCGCTGATTGTAATTTTTCAAACGCTTCAACTTTTTTCTGTGTAGTTGATTTTCCATACGGGCTGAAAACCTTTTTTCCCGGTCGATACTCATGATATAATGAGCTTGATATATTTTATTTTTCATAGAAAATAAAACAACAGTTTTTGTCAGGGACAGTTTATGTGTAAAGTTTATGTTTTTTTTAATTACGCCTTTTTTGGCCACTGCTGCTGAGGCGGTTCGGCCAGCTTCTCGGTAGTGGTGTGCAATAAACTATTTCCATGAAGGATGCCTCCGTAAAGAGGGTCTAGTTGATACCATCATCCTACTAGACGGCTATACAGGAAAAAAAATGGACGAAAGAATTAGAAAATGTGAAAATAATATTCAAAGTTTTAATCCACGTGCATATAAAAAGCGGCAAACAATTCTAGCAGCAGTGCGGTGAAATAAAATAGAATTAGTATACAGAGGCGAAGGAAAATTAGCACTAATGAATGACTCATACAACTGTTGTGATTTTTCCCAATGAAGAGCACAGTCAAATAACACATGACTTAAATCGCCCAGTTCTCCACATTCACAGTCTCCGGAGAGTTTGACTTTAATTCTATTTAGGTGAGCCGGAGAACAGCAATGGTTGCTTCTCAGTCTACACATAGTTGTAATTTCGCTTCTATTCAGATCGAGCTTATGAAACCAGGGTTTAGTTGGCGGAGGAGAATAATGTGAGGTGAAATTAACTCCTTTCCCTAATCCTATATGTTTCCATCTGTCGCTCCAAGCATTCCAGATGTTATGCTTTACTTTAGGGAAGAATTCCCTAAAACTCAATTTTATATTTTCCCGTGGTTCTAGGAGTGCAGCATTGGCGATCTTGTCAGCAATATCGTTTTCTTTTATACTGGTATGACTTGGTATCCAGCATAATTGGATGTCCTTATTTTGAGTTTTTATTAAGGTAATTAGTTTATTCTTAACCTTCAAGGTTAGGTAGTTAGACTTTACATCCATCCCAGTTTTATTGATATCTTCGAGGGCACTTTTGGAGTTTGAAAAGATGACTGCTTTGTTGATGTCCTTGAATTCAATCCAATCAAGAGCTTGACCAATAACATAAATCTCGGCAGAGAAAATAGATAGTTCACTTGGTAGGCCATGTCCCATTTTAAGGTTCGTATTGTAGTTTTAAACAGTCTACACGGCCTTCTTTATCCTTTAAGGCGTCTGTAAAAATTAAATTAAAATCAGGGGACCAAGTCTCACTCTTCTTTATTTCAAATAATTTGGAGTTATTATTATCTTTTTTTAGTTTTAAGTCTTGGATTTGAACAAGAGGTAAGAGGTTCGGTAGTGGACAAGAGAAACAGGGATAAACTGGGCTCCTGCAGAGTGTATCTAACAGTGAATCAAAAGCATCCACAAGTGCGGCAATACTTTTTTTGCGAAAAAAGTATTAGTGTTCATTATAGGTGATATATAACCATATAACCGCTGCTAAGGTTTCACTGTCCACTAAACTGGCGGCTTTCAATAACGATTTAGCCGCTAGCACGTATCTTTTGTGTTCTAAATCCATCTCACTTGCTTCCCCTAGAAGTATGTTAGTAGGTGTGGACTTCATATATCCCAGAACTATTCTCAGTGCCTCAAATTGAATTTTGTTAAGTTGAGCAATAGCCTTTCTTGAACTACCACTCTAAAAAGAGGCTTCATAATGCAAATGGGGTCTGACATAAGCTTTGTAAAAGGTTAGAAGGGGATGTACCCCCCACCAGATTCTACTTATAAATCGCATCATATTCAACCTACTTGAAGTTTTCTGTATCATGTTTCTAATTTGTGGCTCCCATGACAGTTTTGGATGAAAAATCACTCCTAGATATGTGATGCAATTTCTCCATGCTATGGTTCGAGTGTTGAGGTGAAGTCTGGGGAGATACTTAACATTGCAATTCTTCCTGGAAAAAAATATAGCTGCAGATTTATTGGAGTTAATCTCAAGTCCTACATTCAAAGACCAAATATGTATATTTTGCAAAGTTCTATTCAAATTGTTCACGATTGTTTGGGCATCAGTCCCAGTACTCAGCAAGGCGGTAGCGTCCGCAAACTGTAAAAGTCTTATGTTCTCTGGAATTGTTTCTTTAATTGAATTGATGTAAATATTAAATAGTAGTGGAGAAAGTGGGGAACCTTGGGGCACCCCCTTGCTGGTTGTTCTGCCTGACACAAATGTATTAGTAGACGGATCTTTAACTTGTATTTTCCTGTTAGTGATAAATTCTTAAATAAGTAAAGTCAAATCTCTGGCTATTCCAATTTTGGCCAGCACCGAGGTCAATAAGTTAACATTTATATTATCGTAGGCATTGGATATTCCAGCGTCACCATTGCTGCTAGTTGATTGCGAGCCAAACGGCAGAGGACCTCTCCGGAGATTACTGCAAGGTTGTCAAAAGTTCCCTTACCCTTTCTGAATCCAGTTTGGCGAACGTCGATTAAACCTTGGTTCTCTAGGAACCATTCCAGTCGGTTTTTGATCATAATTTCAAAAGTTTTGCTTATGGATGAAGCTAAGTTGATAGGCCTGTAGGACGATAACGCTGAGGGGTCTCTTCCGGTTTAGGAATTGCGATCACCATTTGGGTTTTCCACGTCTCTGGAATGGTCGTTTCCCTCCGAAGTATTTTGTT